ACGTATCGTGTTAAGTAAACGGGTCATTGATGATCATCTGTAGTGTGGGCTATACGTATCATGTTAAGTAAACGGGTCATTGATGATCATCTGTAGTGTGGGCTATACGTATCGTGTTGCAGAGGTTATAAAACGTTCTTCTAAGATCAACCAACACCAACATGTCACTTCTCCATATACTTGTATTCCTGATGACCTACTTCAGCAGAAAACAACTGCTATACATATATATAGAGGAGGAAGAGTTTCGTATTATGTATTACACTTTGCAGAAGACATGTATATTCTAAATATTGAAGTTATCTTGTCGAATTAGTCTACCCCATTAAAAGCCAATATACATATGTAGGTATATTTTGCGATTATTTATTTATTCCTCTGTCCAAAAGTGATCATAAGATCATGTAACATTTTCCGCTAGTGTTCATAAACCACTCATCGCGGTGTTGGGATTTTTAGCCCCTGGGAACATTAAAAAAAAATAGCAGTCTACCCAGACGAGGCGCTTGGTGTCCCAGCGGTAAGTCTTAGGGCTTATAATGCTAAAAATCTTGTTTCGATACCCGCTATGTGCAAAGAACGGATAGCCAATTGTAGATCTTTGTTATTAACAGCAAACAAAATATCAAAGTACTTAGAAATGAAAAGTCGGTAAAGCTTTAAAAATTGTTTAAGGAACGCCGTCACCACCTCACTCAGCGATACTTTGAAATTTCAACTTCACGTGTAACCTAACTCAGAATAGTAAGGTGAAAGAATATTTGAGCAGATAGAATAATAAGAAACTGGATTTGTTAGTCTTCATGACCAACCTCAGCTTTCTGTGCACTAAATGTTATATTTATTAATGCTTTCATATCATACCCACTTTTATCAGCTTTTCACAAATGCCCCCCCCCCAGTGGCACAGCGGTATGTCTGCGGACTTACAACGCTAGAAACCGGGTTTTGATACCCATGGTGGGCAGAATACAGTTAGCCCATTGTGTAGCTGTGTGCATAACTTCAAACAAACAAACAAATTTTCACAAATTTGCAGTGACCGGTTAGCCTAACGCAAATTTAAAAATCTATAGTTTATATATTATTGTTACAGAAAATAAAATTTGTAGATGTTACATGTACACGCCAGGTTTTCTGTTCCTAAATTAAAAAAAAATGCTATATAGTATTGGGCTGATCAATACTCTACAAACAACCTTAATTTGGTATAAACGTTTAATAGTTCGCTAGGCAAAACCTCAAGATAATGACGTTGTCCAAACAACCTTAATTTGGTATAAACATTTCGTAGTTCGCTAGGCAAAACCTCAAGATAATGACGTTGTCGTTGATAAGTGTCATTAAATCCACGAATATATAAATGTGTGTATATTTATATAGAACTATCCAAGTTGTATATTTTATTTTAATATTTGATTATATTAGATGTTCATCGCAAGTTTTATGAACAGAGTAATCTGTAATTTCTTCATAATTTGTAATCTTTTTTTACCCAAGCGAATCAACGAAACGTTACAGAAATCTTCCACTTTATTCTATCTGTGAACTGTGAATTTAAATATCGTTGAAACTGCTTTGTATTTAATATTTATTTATGCGACTGCCCCCCCCCCCAAGGAGTTTTGTTGGTAAGCTCGAGGACTTATAACGATATAATTCGGGGTCTGATCCCTGCAGTTGACACAAAGTTGTTTAACTAATACTGCATTTCTGTGACTGCTCCCAGGAAGTTTTGGTGGCAAGCTCGGGGACTTATAACGATAGAATTGAGTGTTTGATCCCTACAGGTGACCCAAAGCTGTTTAACTAATACTGCGTTTCTTCCAATGTTACTGTAAGATAAACAAGTTTCTCGTGTTCCAGGGAACCAGAACAACTGTGGACGGTCAACAATGAAAGTTAGCGCTGAAATACATAGTCCACTGTCAGGTGAGTTTTATTTATTTTTAGGCTAAAATGGCTCCATTATTACGATCATATAGTAACAAATAGATTCGCTGTATACACTATAAATTAGTCACACATTAAAAAATGATATATTACGCATTAAGTTGAACATATTCAAATAGCTGTGTAAACCAATGTTCAGTGAAGAGAGTTTAAAATTCCAAATGTTTAACTCAGGTTTAAAACTCCAAATGTTTAACTCGGGTTTCAAATTCCAAATGTTTAACTCGGGTTTCAAATTCCAAATGTTTAACTCGGGTTTCAAATTCCAAATGTTTAACTCAGGTTTAAAATTCCAAATGTTTAACTCAGGTTTAAAACTCCAAATGTTTAACTCAGGCTTCAAATTCCAAATGTTTAACTCATGTTTAAAACTCCAAATGTTTAACTCAGGTTTAAAACTCCAAATATTTAACTCAGGTTTCAAATTCCAAATTTTTAACTCAGTTTTAAAATTCCAAATATTTAACTCAGGTTTAAAAGACCAAAGAATATCAATCAATGCTTTGGAAACTTTGTAAAGAAAAAAGACAAAAAAATTTATATAATAATCGAATTCGATAGAAATATCCAAATACTTAGGTCCCAATCCCTTTATTTTTAGTTTTATTATGCGGCAAATTAAAATTTACCGTTTAATATTAAATGTATTATAATAATGGTGTTGGTCGCCAGTCATTCTGTAATTTCTTGACTAAAATTGATTTAATGTTATTTGTAGACGACGAAAATCCACCGTATTCTGTTGAAAGAGGCGAAGATACAGCGAAAAAAGATCTTTTCATACGCTTTGGCTTGTTGCCTGGTGACAGACCTGAAATTGACCGAAGTGCTCCACCACCTAGGCCTGGATCAACCAATCAAAGCAGCCATGAGTCATATGCAAGCATTTCGTCACTGGCAAGTAGCGAGGCTAATATTGCAGTATCTACAGACACTAGCCCTATATCAACGCTAACAGGTATTAAAGCTTCTTTCTTTCTTTCTTATTTTACATACGCTTTAAAATACACGTTTCCTAAAGAAAATTTCAGCATTAACATGTAGTAAAGAGCTGAAGGCAACACTGAACAGGATCCCGCTTTACTTTCGCTAGCAGGATCATTAGATAGCGTTTATTTTCTAACTCTAATCGTGATGGAGTTACGGTTTCTAATATACGAAAGTTCGCTTGGCAAAACGAAAAAATCCTAAGTTAGAAAAGACTCGTTGTTTTCATGTAACAAAAACGACCGTTGTTTTTTTTTTCGCGATCACTATTTTGCTGGTTTTCATGTCAATGCCCCCCCCCCACATATATACGAAATTATATATTTTTTAAAACATATTAAAACATTGGACGTAACTCTTAATGAACTTGAAGATAGCTTCTGATCATTGTAAAAATTAAAATAGATTAATACATTTTGTCTTCGTAACCTCCTTAAAGGCAGCCTGGCATGGCCTAGTGGTTAGGGTTCTCGACTTGCAATCTGAGGGTCGTGGGATCGAAACCCGTCACCGAACATGCTCACCCTTTCAGTGGTGGAGGTGTTATAAGGAGACGGCCAATTCCACTGTTTGCTGAAGAAGTGTAGCCCAAGAGTTGGGCAGCGTTGACTAGCTGCCTTCCCTCTAGTCTATAACTTTAAAATTAGGGACGGCTAATGCAGATAGTTCCTCGAGTAGATTAGCGCGAAATTCAACAAATTAAAAAACCTCTTTAAGGGTCGTAACCCAGGGAGGAAGAGGTCAACGCTGAACCTGATCCCTCACTGGTCCAAAACAAGGACCGAAGCCCGATGAAGAAGAAGTGTCGTAACCCACAATTTGAGAAAGACTGTAGAAAAGAACATAAAAATTCTCTGAAACCATGTTGCGTGCCTTGATACACACGAACTATTAGACAACTGTGGTTTAGTGTCTGTATTAATAAATGTTTCGTGTTCTTCGATATTCTCACTACGATAAAATAGCGTTTGTAAGTTATATATGCGAAGTGTAATGTGAATGTTTCTTTACCAAGAAGCGTTAATTTAATGTATATACAAAAACTAGGAAGAATGGCTCATAATCGCATTGTTGTACACTAAAAATGAAGAAAAATGGCTTATAATCGCATTGTTGTACACTAAAAATTAAGAAGAATGGCTTATAATCACATTGTTGTACACTAAAAATTAAGAAGAATGGCTTATAATCGAATTGTTGTACACTAAAAATGAAAAAGAATGGCTTATAATCGCATTGTTGTACACTAAAAATTAAGAGAAATGGCTTATAATCGCATTGTTGTACACTAAAAATTAAGAGAAATGGCTTATAATCGCATTGTTCTACACTAAAAACCAGAAAGAATGGCTTATAATCGCATTGTTGTACACTAAAAACCAGGAAGAATGGCTTATAATCGAATTGTTGTACACTAAAAATTAAGAAGAACGGCTTATAATCGCATTGTTGTACGCTAAAAACTAGAAAGAATGGCTTATAATCGAATTGTTGTACGCTAAAAACTAGAAAGAATGGCTTATAATAGAATTGTTGTACACTAAAAACTAGGAAAAATGACTTATAATCGCATTGTTGTACACTAAAAACTAGGAAAAATGGCTTATAATCGCATTGTTGTACACTCTAAAAACTAGGAAAAATGGCTTATAATCGAATTGTTGTACACTCTAAAAACTAGAAAGATCGGCTTATAATCGAATTGTTGTACACTCTAAAAACTAGGAAGATTGGCTTATAATCGCATTGTTGTACACTCTAAAAACTAGGAAAAATGGCTTATTATCGAATTGTTGTACACTCTAAAAACTAGAAAGATCGGCTTATAATCGAATTGTTGTACACTCTAAAAACTAGGAAGAATGGCTTATAATCGAATTGTTGTACACTAAAAACTAGGAAGAATGGCTTATAATCGAATTGTTGTACACTAAAAACTAGAAAGAATGGCTCATAATCGAATTGTTGTACACTCTAAAAACTAGGAAGAATGGCTTATAATCGCATTGTTGTACACTACTAAAAACTAGGAAAAATGACTTATAATCGAATTGTT